AAGTGGGAGAACTTGCACAATTGGTGGCTGACTAAATACTTTTTTGCCCCACTGTATGACTGGGTGCCAGTCAGCACCATTCATAAAAACTCAGTTTCTTTCCAATTTTAACTTTTTGGTAATACAGTTAATTGCTAGAATTCTTCCCATCAGCTTTGTATTATTCTTTTATGTGTATATTATCTTAATAGGCAGCTTTGCCTATGTAAATAAGTCAACATAACTGATACCAAACCAGTACTCCTCCATGATTTGCGCTTATCATTTGTCATATAATACAGTGTTGGGCAACTTTTGGTAGCCAGTTGCATTTCCAATTCTAGGAGGATGGGACCGTGTTACACTTATTATTTATTTTACAATACTTACCCAACTTACAATAATTACCCAGCTCATATGACCCTAGATGGTTTATACTAATCGTTAAAATACAAAAATAAGCAATAAATATAAATAAGAATAACTTGGCAGCCCATTCATAATTATTCAACAACATTCAACAAAATCACTCACCATGGATCAGAAGGCTGGATTTGGAAGTTATTTTAAAAAACTGTAATATCCCTATTTTAGGGCATACAGTACATTCTTTATCTATTTTGCATCAAAATATATAATCGTTTTCAACAATCATGGTTCATGAGGGATCAGGGACAACAAATTAAACCAAAGGTATAAAATGATTAAATTCTAAAGAAAAAATATCAGAAATATGGTGGTGGCGCAAAAATGATAAACAAGAACCACACTTGCCTGATTATATGTGTTCCAGTCATGTTTTCCAGTATGTCACACAGTGTGAGAAATATTCCTCTTACACTTTTTATTTTTTGGGATACTTCTGATATGGGATATTGATAAAGAATTTCTTGCTGTCAAAGAAATGTCAGTTTGTGTATCAGTTAAGAAAATTACTGAAAATTTGTCTTTCATTAAAGCAGGGATATTTAATATTTTTAAAAAATCAGAGTTTACACTTGGAAATAATAATAATTCCCCAGTGAGTCACTACCTTGACATGGCTGTGGGGCTTGCATGCTCCAAGGAGGATGAGAGTATGCCAGAGGTTCAGCCATACTGGACAAGTCTCATCAGAGGAGCCAGACAAAGCGTGTCTCCCCCATAAACAGTATGGTGAGACATAATTTACAGAAACCCATACTGGATCGGACATCACCCAGGTCAACAAGGACTGTGCTAGGTGTTCTAGTTCCTGGACATCTGGTGACAAGTGGGCTACAGGACTCAGGACCATTGACTGAGCAACCAGGGCCAGCAACTGCAGGACTACTGGAAGAAAAGTTGTTTACCCATCACAAATATACGAAGACTGAAAACAAAGAAATAATGACCTGCTATTAAAAACCAAGTCCAATGAGAAGAGGTTATCTGAAAATAATGTACCAGTTCTGGAAAGAACAACATCCAGAATTAGAAACAACAGAACAGAAGCTAGCAGATCAATGGCAATTTATAACATGAAATAAAGTATTCAGAGAAGTAGAATTGAAAGAACTGCAAAGATCTACCCAGGGCAAGGAAATCGAAGCCTTGCCAATAGTAGCTCAGACAGTAGAGCCTTCTCCTCAGAAAGAACCAAGCCCTCTAACAAAAAAATAAGAGGAACTGAAATAAAGAATAACTAAGCATCTAGAACAGCACAAAAATAACACAATAAGGTTGCCTGCATTGAAGCTTGTTACAAAGAAACAGCTAGCACAAATATTAAACAAT